CTAGAAAATTGGGGTCTCAAAAGACAGTTTAAGACTAGAACAAAGCTAACATCACACTGATACCCAAACTGGGTAAAGATCCAACAAAAAAAGAGAATTAAAAGCCAATATCCCTAATGGACATAGGTGCAAAAATTCTCACCTTTTATCACAGTACTTTGGGAGGCCAAGGTGAGAGGATTGTTTGAGCCTGGGGGTTTGAGACCAGCCTGGGCAACTTGATGAGGCCTTGCCTCTACAATAAATCAAGAAAAATTAGCCAGGCATGCTAGTGCATGCCAGTAGGTAATTCTAGCTACTCGGAAGGCTGAGGTGGAAGGATCACCTGAGCCCAGCAGGTCAAGGCTGCGGTAGCCGTGAGCGTGCAACTGCACTCCAGCGTGGGTGACAGAGTGAGACTCCGATAAAAAAAAAAAATTCTCAACAAGATTCTAGCAAATCAGATCCAACAACACATCTCAAAAATCATAAACCATGACCATCAAGTAGGCTTCATCCCCAGGATGCAGGGCTGGTTCAACATCCACAAGGTCATCAATGTAATTAAATACATCAACAGATGTCACAACAAGAACTACATGATATCATTAGATGCAGAAAAAGCTTTTGATAAAATCCAGCTCCCCTTCTTGATAAAAACCCTCAAACACCTAGGCATAGAAGGAACATACCTCAAAATAGTAATCACCATCTACGAGAAACCCACAGCCAGCATATTGCTAAACAAACAGAAACTGGAAACATTTTCCCTGAAAACCGGAACAAGGCAAGGGTGCCTATTCTCACCCCTCCTGTTCAACATTGTGTTGGAAGTCCTAGCAAAAGCAATTAGAAGAGAAGGAAATCAGGGGGATCTAAATAGAAAAGACGAAGTTAAGCTCTTTGCTGACAATATGATCCTATACCTCGAAAACCCAAGAGAATTTGTCAAAAATCTGCTTTCACTGATAAAGGACTTTGGCAAAGTCTCGGAGTACAAAATAAATATGCAAAAGACAGTTGTGTTCTTTTACACCAACAATAAGCAGGCAGAGAACCAAATAAAAAACACAATCCCATTCACAACAGCTACAAAACAAATGAACTACCTTGGCATCTTCCTAACCAAAACAGTAAAAGACCTTTACAACGAAAACTACAAAACACTGCCCAAAGAATATTCCATGCTCATGGATTGGAAGAATCAACATTGTTAAGATGTCCAAAGGCAATCTACAGATTCAACGCAATACCCATTAAATTACCAGCAGCATTCTTCTGAAACCTGGAAATGACAGTACAGAAATTCATATGTAAACATAAATGACCACGAATAGCCAAAACAATCCTCAGCAAAAGAAACAAAGCAGTAGGTTTCAAGCTTCCAGACTTTAAACTTTACTATAATGCTTAAATAATCAAAACAGCCTGATACTGATACAAGAAGAGGCATATGAACCAATGGAACAAGATAGAGATTCTGGAAGCAAAATCTCAATTTCTCAACCAATTCATCTTTAACACAACCTCCACCAACAACCACTGGGAGCAAGAGAACCTATTCAGTAAATGGTGCTGGGAAAACTAACTGACCACATGCAGAAGATTGAAACAGGACCCCTACCTATCACCATACACAAAAATCAATTCTAAATGGATCAAAGACCAAAACATAAAACCTCAAACTATAAGAACCTTAGAAAAATGCAGGAGACACCCTTATAGAATTGGAATAGGCAACCAATTCCTGATCAAAACTTCAAGTTCCTGTGCCATAAGAGATAAGCTGAACAAGTGGGACCTCATCAAACTTAAAAGCTTCTGCAAAGTCAAAGAAAGTGGCAAGAGAGTGGCACGACAGCCCATAGACTGGGAAAAAATATTTACCAACTCTGTATCTGACAAAGGCCTCACATCTAGGATCTATAAGGAACTCAAACATACTAAAAAAGAAAAAAACAAACATCCCCATTACAAAGTGGGCAAAAGATATGAACAGACATTTCTCAAAAGAAGAATATACAAGCAACCAACAGATACACAAAAAAATGGTCAGGCTCACTAGTCATCAAAGAAATGCAAATTAAAATCACACTGAGACTCCAGTCAGGATGGCCATCATCAATAACTCAAAAACAACAGATGCTAGAGAGGATGCGGCAAAAAGGGAACAGTTCTACACTGTTGGTCAGAGTGTAAACTACTACAACCTCTATGGAAAACAGTTTGGCGATAACTAAAAGTTCTAAAAATCAACCTTCCCTATGACCCCCCCAATCTCCCTTCTGGGAATATACCCGGAGGAACTCAAATCAATCTATGAAAAAGATACCTGCACACACATGTTTACTGCAGCATTATTCACAATAGCAAAAACATAGAACCAACTGTGCTGCCCATCGAAAGAGGACTGGATTTTTTTAAACGTGGTACAAATACACAATGGGATATTACACAGCCATAAAGAAGGATAAAATTATAAACTTTGTGGCAACTTGGATGGACTATAATACTGAGTGATCTTTCACAGAAACAAAGAACTGAGTACCACATGTTCTCATTCATAAGTGGTCCTTGAACAATTATCATGATACTATAAGAAAGGGTGTGGCAATAGTGGGAAACTGCAGGAGAGTGTGGGGGGTAGGATTAGCAGTAGTGGAAAACTGCCAGGAGAGGGGAAGCATACCTCATTAACAAGGGTACCTGCATAATGAACATTTGTACACCTAACCCTGAATTAACCCCACATCTTTAAAATTAAAAATTTTTTTAAAAAAATGGTACATAAACACAATGGAATATTATGCAGCCATAAAGAAGGACAAACAGGCTGAGGCGGAAGGATCGCCGGAGCCCAGCAGGTCGAGGCTGCGGTGGCCGGGAGCGGCCACTGCACTCCAGTCTGGGCAACAAAGTGAGACTCCAACTCAAAAAAAAAAGGACAAACATATGGATGTTGCAGCAACTTGGATGGATTTAGAGTCTATCATACTTAGCGATCTATCACAGAAATAAAGAACTGAGTACCACATGTTCTCACTCATAAGCAGACCCTGAACATTTACCATAATACTATAAGAAAGGGATTGGCAGTAGTGGGATACTGCCAGTTGGGGTGGGGAGAACACAACATCAATAAGGGTACCTGATCTCAAACCTGGTGAAGTGAGGACCAAAAGGAGGTCCAAACTTTACCTGTACGATGAGCACATATATACCTAACCCTGAACTGTGCCCCACAACTTTAAAATAAAAAATAAAAAAAGACCAGATAGAACAATATGCAGATTTTGAAAATAATTTAATTTTTTTCCTCTAAGGATCAGCAATCTCTTAGAGGATCTTATTAGAGTTGTGGGCCAAGAAAAATATATATGCATATATTTGCCAAACATACAAATATAGTTTAATGAAGTTCAAAACTCCTGAAGCTCATCCATGGTTCCTATAATATTCTACAGATGTCCTATTCAATTAAAATAAAATGTAACACTATCAAAGCAATTTCCAATATACTCAACTACTCAAGTACAGGATAAGCATTTACTTGGTCTGAGTTTTAATCAACAGTAAGAATGACATGGATTCCCCTATAAAGTAATTTAATCTTAGGTAGGATAAGAAACAGTAAGAATGACATGGATTCCCCTAAAAAGTAATTTAATCCTAGGCAGGATAAGAAACATTCTAGAGCAATGTCCTACCATTTGGAGTACTTAGCAGTCTATTCTGGAGTATTATACATAATACTCAACAACTATTAATATAATTGTGGGGGCAAGCCAGGTGCAGTGGCTCAAGCCTGTAATCCCAACAATTTAGGAGGCAGAGGCGAGAGGCTTGACTGAGCTCAGGAGTTCGAGACCAGCCTGCGTAACATGGATGAGACCTCATCTCTATAATAAATCAAAAAAACTGGCCCAGCGTGGTGGCACACGCCTGTAGTTCCAGCTACTTGGAAGGCTGAGGCAGAAGAATTGCCTGAGCCAAGCAGGTAAAGCCTGGAGTAGCCATAAGCATGCCACTGTACTCCAGCCTGGGCAATAGAGTGAGACTCTGACTCAAAAAAAAAAAAAAAAAAAAAAAAAAAAATTGTGGGGCAATATTTTGTTAAGGAATACTAATAATCTAAGCTATGTCTACAGAAGAAACCAGGATGGTGAAAAGCGTAAAGGATATTTTATTTACACAAGAAAACATTTAGTGGGTTCATATACAGATATATAAACCTGGTGAAGTGAGGACCAAAAGGAGGTCCAAACTTAACCTGTACGATGACCACATATATACCTAACCCTGAACTGTACCCCACATCTTTAAAATAAAAAATAAAAAAAGACTAGAACAATATGCAGATTTTGGCAATAATTTAATTTTTTTCCTCTAAGGATCAGCAATCCCTCAGAGAATCTTATTAGAGTTGTGGGCCAAGAAAAAAAAATATATGCATACATATGGCAAACATACAAATATAGTTTAATATATATATATATGAAAGGACATCCTAAAGAAGACAGATGCATGGAAGTTACAGGGAAATAAATAGAAAATATAAAATAATAGAGGGGAAATATTTATTTAATGCTACAGCTAAATGGAAATAAAAGTTCCTACTACAGTTATTAGTGGTGTTGGAACAGAGGCTCAACAATCATTTTCCAGAAATACTGCAGGAAATTTATGTAGGGATATAAAAATTAAACCAGCTTTCACCTAAAGTGAAAAGGACAGGGATTCTACAAGTCTATTTCTTATAAGAAGTCATTTTAAAATTTATATTTAAAGGAAAGAGTATAGGGGACTGATATTTATGTTTCACTGTAAATATTAACATTTCTATGAATACAACTTCTTTTCTCAAATGAATATTTATAGACTTTGATCAATATGTATTTCCAGGCAAAGTATTAACTAAGTGCAATGATATCAACAAAGAAATTTCACTTTCAGGTGCTAAGAATTACATAAAAATTTAAAGTTAAAGACTAAATGAATGAAATTTAGAGAAAACAGAGTACCTGTTTTCTCTTACTTGTTGCCTCATCTTTTCATCTTTTAGACTTTCATGTTTTAGTCTTGCCAATTCCATTGCCAGTTTTTTTTCTTGTTCAAGCTGAAGTTCCTTCAATCTCTTGTTTTCTTCTGCCTGAATGAAAAAGATAATTTTAGTTATTTGTCTTCTAGAATCAGAATTTTTTCATCAAAGTTGAATTTATTTTATAAAAGAATGCCTTAAGTGCAATGATCGACTATTTAGGTTTATTTTAAAATACAAAATACTATTTTAAAACATTTTATCATGCTAAATTTCAAATATCACTAATAGTAAGGAGAATATTAAAATACCTCCTCAGGTACCTACCACCTATCTTTTTAAAAACTGTCAACATTTTCCTATTTTTTTCTTTTCTTCGGCCTTCCATTTCACTTCCTTTTTTTATTCTTTGTGCTAGAGTATTTTAAAGCAAATCCTAGATATCATGTCATTTACCATGTAATTCAGTATGAATCTCTACCTGATCAGAATCTTTTTATATAACAATCATGCCGTTAATACGTCTAATTAACAGTAATTCCCTAGTAACGTCTAATACTGTGTCCATAGTCCAGTTTCCCCAATTGTCTCAAAGATGCTTTTTTCTAGTTGGAGTTTCAAATCAATATCCAAACAAGGGCCACATATTGCATGTGATTATTATTTTTTAAAGTCTCCCTTATATTCTGTAACAGTCACCCCTCTACATACACATTTTTTTCTTTGAGTCACTAATTTGTTGTAGAAATTAGGACATATATCCCATAGAACATTCCACATTCTGCATCTGACTGAATGCTTTCTCAGGATATTACTTAACTTGTTTCTCTTTTATATTTCCAGTAAAATGGCAGAAAGATCTAGAGGCCTGATTAAATTCTGTATTTAAAAAAAACACAGGAAGAAATATTTGTTCAACATTATTAGACATCAGGAAATGCAAATTAAAATTATAATGAGATATCACTACATACCTACAGGAATGGCTAAAATAAAGAGTAATGGTGACAGAGACCACATCACTCATGCATTGCTAGGTGGGACTGTAAAATGGCACAGCCACTCTGAAACCAGTTTGGTAGTTTGTTATAAAGCTAACATGCAATTACCAGATAACTCAACAATTATGCTCTTAAGCATTTATCCAAGGAAAATGAAAACTTATGTTTTTATTTAAAAACCTGTACACAAATGTTTACAGATTTATTCATAATAGCCAATACTGAAAATACCCCAGACTTTCATCATGTGAATGGTCAAATAAACTGTAGTATATCCAAACTATGGAATACAATAAAAAGGAATGAAGCATTAAAAACACGAGCAACAACTTGGATAAATCTCCAGGAATAAAGCTAAGCAAAAAAAAGCTAATCCCAAAAGGTTACATACTATTTGATGCAGTTTATATAACATTCTTGGAACATGCTCTTTTTAAATATGTGAGTTATAATTCACACAGCATAACATTCACCTTCCACAAGTCACAACTCAGTGATTTTGTATATTCACAATTTTGTGCAACCATCACCACTCTCTAGTTCCAGAAATATAAAAAAATAATATTTTTTTGGAGTTTTGAATTGACCATAAAATTGAGCAAAAGCCCAGCGTTGCCATTATAACCCATCCTCACACATGTGCAGCCTCTCCTATGACCAACCTTCCCCATGAATGGTACATTTATTACAATAAATAGACCTACAATTACATCACATAAACTTACACATCATCACCCAAAGTCCATAGTTTATTTCAAGGTTCACTTTTGATGCACATTCTATGGGTTTTAACAAATGCACGATAGTATCACACAGAATCATTTCACTGCCCTAAAAATCCTCTGTGCTTTGCCTTTTCAATCCTCCCTCTGGCAACCCCTGGAAACCACTGATCTGTTTTCCATGTTTACCTTTCCCAGAATGTCATGTAGTTGAAATGATATAGGATGTAGTCTTTTTGGAGTAGCTGCTTTACTTAGTAATATGCTTTTAAGGTTCTTCTATATCTTTTCATGTTTGATAGCTCATTTCATTTTAGCATTGAATAATATTGTTGTCTGAATGTACCATAGTTTGTTTAAAGCCGCTATATATTATAAACATTTGTGTTACTGCAGCTTTATAGGTGCCATATATTATGAATATTATAGACTTTATATATACTATAGATATATATAGTTGATTGCGTTTGTGTGTGTGTGTGCGTGTGAGTGGAATGCTATATATAGCACATCTATGTGCACGTTTTTGTGTGGACATAAAACTTCAATGTTCCAGATACTGACATCACTCCAAAAGAAACCTATACCCATTAGCAGTCACTTATCATTCTTTTCATCTTCCCTCCTATCCCCTGGTACACACTAATCTACTTTCTGTCTCTATGGATTTGCCTAATGTAGATATTTCATACAAATGAAATATCTAGCCTTTCTTTGTGACTGGCTTTTTCACTTAGCATAATGTTTTCAAGGTTCATCCATGTTGTAGCACGTATCATTAATCAATTCTGGCTGTATAATATTCCATTGTACAGATATATTTGTTTATCTATTCATCAGCTGATTGGCATTCATGTATAAGTTTTGGTGTGGACATTTGTTTTCAGTTCTCTTGGGCATATTTTTAGGAGAACTACAGAGTAATATAGTATTTACGTTCAGCTTTTTGAAGAACTATCAAAGCGTTTTCTATAGCCACTGTACCATCTTACATTTCCACCAGCAATGTACCAGAGTTCTACATTCTCCAGATCTTTGCCAACACTTATTTTGTTTTTGTTGTTGTTATAGCAATTCTCCTGGGTCTGAGGTGGTATCTCATTGTCGTTTTGATTTTCACTTCCCTAATAACTAATGATACTGATGATCTTCTTTGTGCTTACTGCTCATTTTATATCTTCTTTGGAGAAATAGCTATTGAAATCCTTAGAGTTTCTTTTGGGAGGTGTTTTTTATTGTTGAGTGGTATATATAATATTTTTGAAATGACAAAATTATAGGTATAAAAAAACAGATGAGTAGTTACCTGGGTTAGGAATGGGACAGGGGTAGGCAGGAAAGAGACGAATATATTTTAAAAGGGCAAAAGGTGGTCATAGAACTGTTCTTTATCTTGACTGTGTCTTATATACAAGTCTACATATGTGATAAACTGTATAGAACTAAGTATAGTTAAGTATGTGATAAATTGTATAGACACACACACACAAATGAGCATTAGTAAAATGAGAAATCTATGACTGATAGATTTAATCACATCAATGTCTTGTTTGTGATACTGTACTACAGTTTTGCAAGATATTGCCATTGGGAGACATGGATATAGAGTATATAGGATCACTCTGTGTTACTTCTTACAAATGCATATGAATCTACACTTATCTCAAATAAATTTCTTACTTAAAAAAAGCAATAGCAAGTGCTGGTTTGAGACAAAAAGCAACTAAAATTCTCATATATTACTTGGGGAAATGCAAAACTGTACAGTACAGCAACTTAGAAAATGTTTTGCCAGCTCTGTATAAAATTAAACATACAACTTCTGACCCTGCCATTCTACTCCCAGATATCTACCCAAGAAGAATAAAATTTATATTCACACACTTCTGTAATCAAATGTCTTAGCAGTTTATTCATAATTACCAAAAACTGGAAACAACTAGATTTTCTTCAACCTGTAAATGAATAAACTATGGGACAATCATACAATGGAATACTACCATTCCATTCAGCAATTAAAAGGACTGAGTCAAGCCACAACACGGAATTTTACATTCGTTTTGGCAAAAGATGCCAAACCCAAAGGGCAAAATAATGTATAATTATATTTATTTATATGATACTGCGGAAAAGGCAAAACTATTGGGACAAAAATAAGTCAATGGCTTCCAGGGACTAGGGGCAGGGGTGGGTGGTCAAATGTAAAGGGGAAGCATGAGGAGATTTTGGCGTGACAGAATTGTCTTTCATGACATTGTGATGCTAGAAATAGAAACCTATGGATTTGCCAAAATCTACAAAACTGGACATAAGGAAGAATAAATTTTATAATATGAAAATTTAAGAAGAAATCAAAACAGTACATTCATACTATGCACTACTCAGCAAGAAAAAGGAACGAACTATTGATATACCCAACAACTTGGCTCAATCTCCAGGACATTGTGCTAAGTGAAAAAAGCCTACTCAGAAGATCACAGACATACGATTCCATATTATATACAGTATCACAGACATGATTACATTTATAAAACATTCTTGGCTGGATGTGGTGGCTCATGCCTATAATCCCAGCACTTTGGGAGGCTGAGGAAGGAGGGTAGCTTGAGCCCAGGAGTTTAAGACAACTATGTGCCTAGGCAACATAGCGAGACTTCATCTTTACAAAGAAAAAAAATTCCTGAAATGACAAAATTATAGAGATGGAGAACAAATTAGTGCTTACCAGGCATAGTGGGGTTGAAGGGAATGGGTGTTAGTCTAAAGGGGGGCAGCATGAGTGAGATCTTAGCAATGACAGAATTGTTTTGTGTCTTGATTGAGGTGGCAGTTGTACAAATGTGCACATGTGATAAAATAACACAGAAGCAAATACACATATTATACCAATGGCACTTATGTTTGATATTGTCCTACAGTTATGGAAGATGTAACCACTGGGAAAAAATGGCCAGAGGCACAGTGGGCCTCTCCATGCCATCTTTACAGTTTCCTGAGAATCTATAATTATTTTGACAATAAAATCCCAGTAATAAGGAGCATACTTATTCAGATCTTGATTTCTAAATGCCAAATAAGATAAAATGAACCAAGTCTCTTTGGAGAAATGGTTGATTCCACAGTAAGAAAAGAACAAGCTGAGCCCAGAAGCAAGTAAATGCTTTGTTCAAAAGTGGGAGAGCCGGGCTCAGTGGCTCAGCCTGTAACCCCGCGCCTTTGGGAGGCTGAGGTGGATGGATTGCCTGAGCCCGCGGGTTCGAGACCCGCCTGGGCAACTTGGCGAGACCTCCTCTCTAAAATAAATCAAAAAATCAGCTGGGCGTGGTAGCACGCGCGTGTAATTCCGGCTACTCGGAAGGCTGAGGCGGAAGGATCACCGGATCCCCAG